TATGACAAATAATTCCACAAGTTTAATAGATGTCGATTTATATCAATATAAATATAATCAATATAAATATGATTGATTAATAATAACATACGTCAGGGTATGTAACTTAAGTCAGGGTTTAGCTTCATAATATGCAGTCTTGTAGCATTCAGCTTTTGTCATGCAGCGGCCCCAGCTCAAGTTTCAATATAAATATGATAATATGACAAATAATTCCACAAGTTTAATAGATGTCGATTTATATCAATATAAATATAATCAATATAAATATGATTGATTAATAATAACATACGTCAGGGTATGTAACTTAAGTCAGGGTTTAGCTTCATAATATGCAGTCTCGTAGCATTCAGCTTTTGTCATGCAGCGGCCCCAACACAAGTTTCAATATAAATAGCATTCAGCTTTTGTCATGTAGGTGCCTTAATTACATCTTTGTGGATGTATCCAATGTCCACCCCATCACCCTTACTTGGTTATTATTTCATTGTTTATTAGACCCCTTCACGCCTTCATCTGACGCCCAACTCAGTATGCACATCTATTGAAAAGAGATTCAGAGACTATAACAGAGTAGGCGTTAAAAAAGTTTCTGTTTTGCTTTTATTGCGTTTACTTTCAGTTTGTAATTTGAAGCGCTTCAATCATGACTGTTACCTATACGGCAGACGTCAGTTCCAGAAAGTTCATAAGCAACTTTTTGCGCTTATTGTTTAGGTAAGTGTCTATGGGATCTTATGTCGCGGGTCCTGCGAGTGCGGCCTAACGTTGCGTTCGATTTCTTGCAGATGGCGCGGCAGCATCTACAAGCTGATGTGGGTTGACTTGATTGTATTTGTAACCATCTATGCAATCCTGGCGTTCATTTATCGAGTTTGTCTCAACAATTCACTGCGCTAGTAAGCTATCATTAGTTCCATTAGCCTGCAGACTTTGCTCACCTATTGTCAACCTTTCAGTGGCTTCGAGTATGCTGTGATGTACTGCAACAGCCAGTTGAATCTGATACCACTGTCCTTTGTGATGGGCTATTTTGTGGCCATTGTGATGACGCGCTGGTGGGCGCAGTATACGACGATTCCGTGGCCGGACTCGATAGCCACGCTGATCAGCTGCAGCGTGCACGGCTTTGACGATCGTGCTCGGGCCATGCGGCGCACAATCATGCGCTACGTCTGCCTCTGCCAGACAATCGTCTTCACGATGATCTCGCCCAGCGTCAAGAAGCGTTTCCCCACCTACAACCAAATCATCGAGGCGGGCCTGCTGCAGGAGAACGAGAAGCAGATCATTGAAACGCTGGATCTGGCCTTTCCCCACTATCCCAAGCACTGGATGCCGATCGTGTGGGCTGCCAGCATTGTGATGCGCGCCCGCAGGGAGAACAAGATCCGAGACGACTACGCCGTGAAGACGATCATCGATGAGCTGAATCGCTTTCGCGGCCTGTGCGGCTTCCTGCTGTACTACGACTGGGTGAGCGTGCCACTGGTCTACACCCAGGTGGTCACCCTGGCCACCTATACGTTCTTCCTGTGCAGCATCATTGGCTCACAGTGGATAGATAATCCGCAGAGTCCCACGGCCAGCAACCTGGTCGTGAAATACTTTCCAATACTGAGCATACTGCGGTTCTTCTTCTACATGGGCTGGCTGAAGGTGGCCGAGTCGCTGATAAATCCCTTCGGAGAAGACGATGATGACTTCGAGGTGACTAAGCCGAAGAGTATGCATATAAGTGCAAGGATTTATGAGCTCTCTCTTACAGGTCAATTGGATGATCGATCGCAACTTGACGGTTTCCTACTTGATTGTGGACGAAATGCACCAGGAGCATCCTGAGCTGCTCAAAGATCAGTACTGGGACGAGGTGTTCCCCAACGAGCTGCCCTACATAGACGAATCCAAACGCACTGCACCCCCAGTACATTCCACAGCCAAACTGATTCCATCCCTGGGTAAGCTGCCATGAGGCTGTTGAGTATTCCCTTCTGTTGACTCTCTGGCCTCTGCACTCAGATAACAAACTGGGCTTCTATATGCCGCAGTCGTCGCCCAGTCTGTTGACTCAGAACACTTCCTCGCAGGTGGACATGACGACCTCGCTGCAGCAGCTGCGAGAGATCCTCAAGAGGCAGAATGAGTCCGAGGACAAGCAGAGCAGCACCAGCAGTGAGTATTTATTGGAGATGCCTATAGGGTATATATAATTGTGTATATCCGTTTACGCAGTGAATCTGGAGGAGTTGATCGAGCAGCGGCATAGGGAGAAGCGCGAGCGACTGCGTCATCGATTCCTCAACATGAACAAGCCGTCCTCGACTGGGCGTGGCTATGTGGTTACGGTTCTCCGTCCGCCCACGCCGCGCACCAGCCAGCACTCCCGGATCGAGGAGGAGAACGAGGAAGAGGAGGAGCAAGGCGAGGAGGATCAGATCAAGGAGCCAGACTCCGATGCGGCCAACAAGAAGCCGGATAAATACGAGTGAAACGATGCAAATTAAATCGAATCAAAGCACTACCTCGACTGCGGCACTAATTGTTATTGATGGGTTAAGATACACATTTTGATGTTGTTGTTGCTGTTGTTGTTGTTGTTGATGTGCTCTATACAATAATTTATTAACTCTTTGGCTCGGCTCTGGCATCTGACAAAAATAACTCATGAAATGGCCCATTGTTTGCATTAACATATCCGAACATCTGAAAATCTGACACGACGCGTGTTATTATCTTATTTTTTTTCAGTTTTTCATTTTCCATTTTCCATTTTTCACTTTACCAGCAGCTGTTGCTGGGAGTGAGCGCTGCTTGGGTAAATAATATATAAATATTAAATAAATTGTAATGACAGCCGCTATTTATGAAACTTTCAAAATTGTATTATTTTTAATGCGCGCTTGTAATGTGGTGGTTGAATGCGGTTCGATTCAGTTTGCCATTTAACTCATTTGGGTGTTGACTGTGCTGCTGTTGTTGTTGTTGCTGTTGCTGTTGCTGTTGTTGCTGCTGTTGCTGTTGTTTTTCTCATGTATTTTTGTGTGTGTGTGTGTGTGTGTGTGTGCTTATACTCTGTGCCAATCAGTCAATTTTTAATAATTGCACAACGATGTGTACATTGTCAGTTGACCACAGCGCAAAACGACAAAGATATTTCTGAATGGCAAATTTTAC